GAAATTGAGGATAATGAAACAATCAGCCGTCTTAAAAGAAAATGTGTGCGGAAAAAATTAAAAGGAAAAGGAAAGAAATCATTTCCTCCTATCATCAACTAAAGAAAGAGAAGACTTGAAGATCATACTTATTTATCTATATCATTTAAATTTAAGAACATTCTTTAGTTACTTTTTAAATTTAAGAACAATCTTTAGTTACTTTCTTGTTGTAGTCCATTTACTTTACATTTAAAAAATATTCATATATTATCTATTTCACCTTGGAACATTAATTATTTATCCCGACCATTTCATACTTTTCTATTAAAAGTGAGTTTAAGAAATTGTTTATGGAATTTTTTTTGTTTCGTTTGGATTTTTTGGTTTGGTTTTGTTAATTTGAAAAAAGTTGTATGGTTAATTGTTAGTGAGTATATTAAAATAATATTTAAAATAAAATAATTTAAATTGATTTGATGTAAAAGTACGAGAGAGATAATTGAAGTGAATTAAGGTTGATGTGTGGTTGAGTTAAAAAAAATGGTTGAGTTAAAATGTTGAAATTTTTTTGAAAATTTTCATAAACAAACATGCTCTTAGTACCTGAAACAAACATCTCCACATGAACTTAATTAGCAAGAAGATTTTTCACCACGTGCATCGCACGTGCATTTTACTAGTTATGTAAAAATATAGCTGGATTTTTTCATTTGCAACAGTGAGGGTTTTGTATTTTGTGTTCTCTGTAAAAGTTAGCTTGTAAAATGGGTTTTGTACATTTTATATCGAAAAGTTATTCCACCCAATAATATGTATAACGACCATCGACATATTTTTAATCTATTAATATATAAAGAGAGAATGATATTTATTTGAAAAAAGATCAAGAAAATCAACAAAAAAAAAAGAATTCATTTCCCGCCTAAAGTCAATATAATGAAACTAAAGATTTTTGGCCAAAAGTTAAAATATGAGCGCCATCCAACCAATTTTGAAAATTAAAAAAAAAATAAATTAAAAATTCTAAATAAAAATATTACATGAAGATTTATTGGAGATTCCATATTATCTAGCTTTGATACAATAGAAATGGAACACTTGTCCTATTTTCATTGGTCCACTATAAATTTTATATGATAAGATAAGTATAACTCAAATTATTGATATTATTTTATTTTAAAAAATAAAATAAAAAATACCAAAATTCGTATTTTTTCATACTCTATAAATAGAGACCATTCTTGATATGTTTTGGAACACAATTGAAATTATTATGTTGGGTTAAGTTGTAGATAAAACAATACCAAACAATGTATTAGATAACATTTATTAAATAAATAAAAATAAAATAAATATTATACTATCTTTATTAGGCCACCAACTAAAAAATAATAAAAGAATAAAAAAATAGCAAAATCCGCTAGACATGGCAAAAAACCGGGCTGGGTCACGATCCGGCCCGGCCCGACGGGCCACCGGGTTGGGTTTCGACGCCTGAACCGTGCACGGACCTAGGGTCGTGTCGGGTCCATGACCCGGCGGGCCGGGCCGGGTCCGACCCAGGTTTGGACCCGGACACATAAAAAAATTAAGAAAAAAGAAAAAATTCAAAAGCAATGTATTTTTCCGTGCTGACACAGACTCGGCCCGGCCCGCCGGGTCAAGGTCGAAAAAACATGACCCTTGACCAGCCCGTTTGAAATCCGTGCCGGGCCCGGACCCGTGGTCAATGGGTTTGACCGGACCAGTTCCGTGCCGGGTCCGGGCCGGGTGACCCGTGGCCATGTCTAAAATCCGCGACTCAGGTCAAATTGTGACCCTGGATCGCAACCTAGCCACAAGGAGGGAGAGAGAAATGAGGTGAGTGAAATGAGGCAAGTGTCTTATTCTTATTGGTCTATAAAATTTTTATATAATAAAGTAATTGTAACTCAAATTATTGATATTAATTTATATGAAAAAAATAAATAAAAATTTATTTTTCATTCTCTATAAACAGAGACCACTCTTGATATATTTTGGAACATAATTGCAATTTCTATCTTTTCACTCTTTTTTCTTAATCATAACTTATCAATTTTATCATATCTTTTATTTTATCATATCACAACTAAAACAATAACAAAAAAATTATTGTAGATAATATTTAATAAATATATAAATAAATATAAAATAAATATTATGTTGGGTTGAGTTAGGTTGGGTTTGGGATAAAGGACTATTCTACTATACCTTTTCCAGATATGGGTAGTATTAATTTAAGTGCGAACCGTCTGGTTTTGGATGAACTTAACTATGACCGTAAGGCTCTAGCTATTGAGCATGATGCATTGCTGACACATAATGACCGATGAACAGAAGGGTGTTTATTCCATAATAATGACATCTGTTCATTCCGGCAGAGCGGCGTGTTTTTTGTGTATGGTTATGGTGGAACTGGAAAGACATACTTGTGGAGGACTTTAGCTGCTCGGCTAAGATTGCACGACGAATTGTGCTTTGTGTTGCATCAAGTGGAATAGCATCTCTCCTGTTGCCGGGCGGACGAACTTCACAATATTCTCGATTTGGCATTCCTATTTTTGTGCATGAAAATTCATCGTGTGAGATCAATCAGGCTAGTCCTCTTGCCGAGTTGATTATTCGCTCTTCATTGATCATATGGGATGAGGCCCCAATGATGCATAAGCATTGTTTTGAAGCTGTTCAAGCATCTTTTAAGGCAGTAATGGGAGCCCTCGACCCGGAAAATTTTAATTTGTGGAGAAGAAGGTTTGAAAGAAAATTAAACCAATAATGTTGTGTATAGAGAAGTGTTTAATAATATATGATTTTTGTTTATATTTTGTATTCCTCTATCCTCTTTCTATTGTAATTAAATTATTAATTTATAAAAAAATATTTAAAATAAAGTTAAAAAAAAAAAGATTTGAGTAAACAACCCCGCAATGTTGCGCCCGCCGTGCTGCGCACAGGTACCATACTAGTTTACACAGTACAATCCACCTACCATATACATTTATTTAGTCTGATCATATTGTCTAAGTTGTCATAATGTCATAAGGCCTTTGACTTTACAATTGTTGTCTAAATTGTAATAATGTCTGACTTTGTAATTTATTCATTTAACTTACAATCTTGTTTATTCCAAATTAATCTTGCAATAAAGATTAATTTGTTCCGCATGGATAAAATTTTCCCTTTAATCTTTTGAATGTGGATCATTGGCATGTCAGCATGTGTATAAGATGAAATAAAGATAAAAAAAAATATATCTTGTTTGGTCTTCGTTAGGATCTTGACCCAGACCAAACATGATTAATCCTGTTGGGCTCAAGTAAAGCCCTAAATAGTAAATTTCCCCAATTCCGGCCCGTTGATCTGCTGTTTTCATATACACCCAACAAAAAATATAAAACAAAAAGGAAAAGGATTTATTGCGTTTAGTTTTCCTGCTCTTACCCTGAGTGCAACACCGGCCGTCGTTGGCGCATAATTGAGTAATCCACCGTCGGCTGGTGTCCGTCCGCCATCTCCGGCCAAATCATATGCCTGTAAGTTTATGAGTTGCATAATTTTTCGCTTGTGAAATTCTTACCATGTTCATTATGGGCATTTCTCTTCTACAGCGAACATTTTCTCTTTATTTTTTGGGGCCAATTCTAAAATTATGCTCAAACTTCATAAAAGACTGATTTCTTTATGTATTGTGAAGAAAAATCTATGGCTATGTTTAGTGTGTGAAGGAGTTTAGGACTAGAATGATAAATATATGAGTTAGAGATGTTTGAATTAGAGATGCTGTGAAGGTGCTTGATAAATGTCACTGAGATAATGTGTTTCCATTTGTTCTTCTTGGACCAGAGATGTAATTTTTCTACAAATACCGTTTAAGCTGTAATCGAACTCAATTGGATCGGATAGTTTGAACAAGCTCGATTAAGTGAATTAACCAAACATGAAACGACTCGAACTTTACAAACAATTCTTGCTGGAATGATAAATAAATGAACTCGAACAGTGTTCGAGTCTAGTAGAAATCGAGCTCGAAAACCCCGGGTATTGATTTGATTACACCGCTAATTTTACAGTTGCACGTAAAAGTCTATCGAAATTCTAGATGCACCCCATAAGCTGGTTGTGGTTGGGTAATCAATAGGCTTGGGTAAATTATGAGTAGACTTTCTGTCAATGCCCGATTAAGCATTTAAGCTACTCGTTTCATGTAAACCCCAAGTTTTTTTTACAATTTTGTTCTTTAGAGAATTTCTAAGAATGAAATATTCAACTCAAACATATCTACAGTGCTTTCCTTGTAAAATATGTTAACTGATTTACGATGACCCTTTTTTTTTTCACAATTTCATTTTTACATTCCACAAGATTCTAACTAAAAGCATAGTAAACATGTTTTCTGATATCTCATTTTGTTACATGTCTTGGTTACGTTCCATAGTTTGGCACTCCAGAACCTTCCTTGACAAATATGCCCCCCAAAACTGCCCAGATCCGCCTCGTCAGCTCCCACCCTGAAGTCTACGACCCATGCGACGACTCCTTCGCGCTCGTCGATTCCCTCCTTGCCGACCGGGCCCACCTCCTAAAACACCGGCCTGCGATTTGCATGGAGATAGGGTGTGGCAGCGGGTACGTGATCACCTCCCTTTCCCTCCTCCTCGGAGAATCTAGTCCACCACCCTACTACATTGCCACCGATATCAACCCCCACGCGGCCCGCGTGACCCTCCAAACCCTAGAATCTCACGGATGCCAAGCAGAGGTCATAAACACAGATATTGCATTTGGTCTTGAAAGCCGTTTGTACAAATCGGTGGACTTGATAGTCGTGAACCCTCCATACGTGCCGACTCCAGAGGAAGAGGTGGGGTCCGGTGGCATAGCCGCTGCCTGGGCCGGAGGAGAGAATGGTCGGAAAGTTATCGACCGGATACTGCCGGTGGCGGACGGGCTTCTTTCGGATAAGGGGTGGTTATATTTGGTGGCGTTGAGTGCAAATGACCCATTGGAGTTGTGTCTTGAAATGAGAAAGAAAGGGTACGCATCCAGAATAGTGCTGCAGAGGTCAACTGAGGAGGAGAGCTTGCACGTTATTAAGTTCTGGAGGGACCCGGATGTTCTCATGGAGGCGAACGAGCGTATGGAGTTGAGAAGAACAGAGGATAGGGTCGTGGTGGATTTTTCGCACTTTAGCCCGTTTTCAGTTTGGAAGAACCGGACTCGGGATTCTTAAGCTGTGCGCGCATAGGGAATTTGTCGTTTTTAAGGTAATTTATTTTTTTCTCGTGTTTCTTTTTTTCTTGTGCGTTGCCCATCGAGTAATTGAGAACATGAGTATTTTGTTCTTCATTCATGTGTTGTGATTCTTGAATGTCATTATTTCGGATATTATGATATGAAACGGAAAATTTGTGTTAAGTAGCATTCTCTGGTTGTTGTAATTGACAGTTTAAAAAAAAAAAGAAAAAAAGAAAGAAACTGATGAAGAAATTATTGTTAAAGGAAATGGAATGAGTATGATGTTGATCAGATGTAGGAATTGCATAAATACACTATAACTAATGTGTGAGAAAATGGACTACGACTTAATCACATTTAGGAAAGCTTTATACTTCGTGAATAATGTTTGACTGTGATATTGCAGTTCTATGTGTATGTGTGTCTGTCCCAGTTCACGGTAAAAAAAAACTTGATGGAAATTCATGGCGTCCCACGTCTCAGTTAAGCAGAAAAACTGAGCGACGTTTAACATTTTCATTATTTTCACTCTTCAGAAACTGTTGGGAGTGCATATTCGTGATCAAATTTTATGTTTCCGTGATCACCATTGAACTAGTTCACCCTCTTCCCTTACAGAAGGTGCTAAAAAAGCACAGGTTCTTATGGTGTACTCGATTGTGAGGCCATGAGGCTCGAACCTGAGTATCATCTGAAATTAACTTAACGTGTTGTTTTAAGAATTCTTGCTTTCCTGGACTTGTGTTGAAATAGAGGCGTATCTGATGAAGTCGATAAATATTGAATCCAGATTTGAAACTTTCATCCCGCATATATTTGGTAAATTTTGTTACATTCTGGAAAACAATAATCTAGGTTTGCTCCTATCCCCTTCGAAACCATATTTTAGGATCGCATGTGGTTGTGGCTTTCAACATGTCACATGCATTCTAGTTAGCAAAGTACAAAGTACAAAACACTTTAGACACACTATAGTTTCTATAGAGCTGAAAACTAGGCAATTATTGGACAAAGGGAATATATAGAAAATGAAAGGAACGGAAAAACCATGCACAAGAAGATAGACAAATAAGTTAGGTCCCTTTACCCTTTGTTCCATTTAGATCCCAGCTAAGTGACCCTTCAAAAAATTGTTGAAGAAATTGTCGATAAAAAGAATGTAAGGTAACATGCGTCATGACTAAATCGAGCAGACAGATGTGACGATAACAACTAATTCTTGGCATGGCCCTAATGATTTTGTAAAGCGTTTAAAATTGGTTGTTAAAGCTTAAACCTAGTACAGAAAGAATGCCTGGTTTTCAGATAGAAACAAAGGAAGAAATGTAAATTAGTTGAAACTTTGGTATAATATGCAACTGCTGAAGTGCCTTTAACAGGCAGCAGCACATGCAAAAGTGACAACCTATTAAGACTACCATAACAATTCTAATTTGTTAAAGCATCAAGGGAAATATTGTTTCTAATATGACCCTATGAGTGAACTTTTAATTGGTGCGTACTCGCCAACATTGCATAGTAAAACATTTCTTAAAAATTTCTCCGGCAGGTCTGAACGAATTCGGGGTGAGCCTGGACCAGCCAAATAAAAGAAAATAATATAGGACTGAGCCAGGCCGGGTCGAACGTATCCGGACCACTGGGATTATGGGCCGACCTGGCCCAATGGACCATGGGTGTAACTAACTTATATTGCGGGAAGATCTTTAACTAAGTAATTATTTGTCTTCCCTTTTTATATACTATGGATGTGTTGCTACTGGACTAATCAGTCCCGAGCTCATGGCTTACTCTCTGTTTTTGTACCTGCCATTTACTCAAGTTTTTTAAGATTGATCTCTCGATAGAGCTACTGGTTCATCCGACTAGTGATTGACCGTTATTTATTTATTATTATTTTTAAATATTTTATAGAACTATAATAGTAGGGTTTCTATCTGTTTGTGTGGTCTTCTTCGGTGTCGGTGTCGGTTTCGTGGTGTTGTTGCAGAGTGTTTTGTCTAGCTGGTGAGGATGGTGTTATTTTAGATTACTTGTGTTCCAATGTTTAGTGTTTTGAGTAGTGATTTTTTTTTTTTTTTTTTTTTCAGAAGCTTAAATTCTCCACTTGTGGGATTTGTATAGTTTGTTGTATTCTGGATGTGTGTGTACTCGGTTCTAGGCTATACACAAGACTTCCCGCTCGATTCAGTTGGGTGGATTTATCTAAACATACATGTGTTTTTTGTATAAAATCTATTATTCCGACAAAAAAAAAAGAACTATAATAGTTAACTTATATGCGAAACATCATTAATAAAAATATGTGTTTAAAACGTATAAATATGTGAAAATAAAATTAAAAATTAAAAATTCGAACTGGTCAAAGATCGGGTTCTTATTGGTCCTTGCAGGTGATTTTTGTGTGGGAGCCAAACCAATTAAGTGAGGAACTCTTGGTTCCATCAGCCGAGCCAATCTGATCCGATTTTTAAAACTATGGTTTCGTGTCTCCCATACTTTTACTACTCAAGTTTGGCCAAATTTAAACCGAGTGGTCAAGATGTGGCTCGGGTGGGGTTAATTAGTAAAAAAATATTATTATTATTGTATTTCTTTTAGAGCTAATGTTTTATATGACGTCCCGCAATCATAGCAGACGAGCTAGCAGTACGCGGTTCAACCGATATTACCACTTATTTTATCTGTTTTAATAAATATTAATTTCATTTATTATTATATTATTTAAATATACAAAATGTTAATTAATAAAGACTAAAATTGATTAAAAATTAGTAATAATGTAAATATATTAAAATTAAGTGTAGAACTTTTTTTGTAAAAATAAAATAAAATTTGGTATATCCAGTTTTTTAACTGGTATTTTGCCTATATTTAGTGGTAAAACCTATATTTTTCGGTGTGAAACAGATATTTTGATAAAAATTGTATTTAGAGGTAAAGTTTGGGGGCCTGTAGTGGATGGAGCCCGTTGGTCAGTGCGTAACGATCAACGGGTACCCTTTTGGACGGATCGTTGGCTTACGAGCACTACAATCCTGCTTGAAGAAGCCCTAGGCCCGGTACCGGAACACCATCTTCCTTGGACACTGGATAAATTCGTTGATAGTGCAGGCGCCTGGCGACGGGACCTATTCCAACCCCTACTGCCCGCGACGGCTCTTTTGCGTATAGCAGCCACACTTCCTCCTTCCCCGGGGTCAGGCGATGACATTATGTACTGGGGATGGTCGAGCAATGGACGTTTCACAACTAAGTCGGCATACGAAGCATTAGGGGGTTCACATAACGCGAATACAAGGCGTATATGGAAAGAAGTGTGGAGCTGGACGGGGCCCCAAAGAATCCGTCAATTCATGTGGCTAATTGTGAAAGAACACCTGCTCACCAATGGAGAAAGATTCCGACGTCACCTGATTGAAAGTGCGGCTTGCGAGTTATGTGGAAGCGCACAAGAAACAATACTCCATTGTCTCCGGGACTGCACTCACGCCGAGCAAACATGGCTTCGTTTAATCCCGTACCAACATCAGGTTTCTTTCTTCTCCTTAGAATTAAAAGAATGGGTGTGTGCTAATCTTGGTAATCACCTGAACATGCATAATGAAAACTGGGCTTGCTTTTTTGGAGTTACGATTTGGAATATCTGGCGAGGTCGGAACTCTATTATTTTCGAGAAAAGCGGATTTAATATTTTGGGTCACGTGTTGGCTATCGACAGACAAGTCGAGGGAATTTCTTCGGCCTCCCTGTTTGCCAAAAGCTTATGTGTAGGCGGTAATTGTCGTGAAATTCGATGGCTTTCGTGGTCTAAGCCAGACGCGGGCTTCATCAAGCTGAATTCAGACGACGCGTTTAATCGACAAACCGGGATGGCCTGGGCGGGAGGACTATTGCGCGACGAGGATGGAAGGTTGGTGTCGGGTTTTGCAATGAATATCGACTTTTGTTCGATCTTGGGTGCAGAGTTATGGGGATTATTTCAAGGCTTGACTTTGGCTTGGCACAAGGGGCACCGAATGGTGATAGCGAAAGTTGACAGTAAGAATGTTGTAGACATGATGCTGCATAATGGCGAGCACACGGGCATCCATAGCAGCATTGTTCGGGGGATTAAAGATCTGTTGGCAAGGGAGTGGAGAATTACAATTCACCATATTCATCGTGAAGTGAACTTTGCAACGGATTACCTCGCTTCTATGGCATCGGCCATGCCGGGCGGACTTCATATCCTTGACGACCCTCCCACGGGGGTGAAACCGTGGCTCGAACATGATGTTCTAGGGATCGCTCACCCTCGTAATATCGTAGTCTAAGGCGTTCGCCTCCTTCTTTGTACCGAAAAAAAAAGAGGTTATCGTACAGGCTAGACAGCGGCATATAGTATAACCGATAATACTAGTGGATACAGTACGGTATTTAAAACATGCATAAAATATTTCTCTTAATATTGTTTTCCCTCGTGTAATGTTAAAAAAAAAAAAAAA